GGCAATGACCATTTGTAACGACCATTTTTATGAGGGGCGCGGAAATCATAAGACAGTCAAACTACGCTTGCTTGAGGTGGCCTCAGATCGAAAGGGGTGGTCCGAACTACTAGGTTTCACTAGGCAAAAATGGCGTCGCCAATGGGATGCGTGTAGCGCCCAAGAAATTTAAAAAAAAAATAATGAAAATATGAAATTAATATATCTGGATAATCTGATAAATTCTCAAAGTAGTATCTCAATAAACCTTCATTCCTAAACCCACAATCCCTAAATCTTCCAGCACCTAACCTAAATCCTAAATATCCTAAGCCCCGAGCCCTAAACCCTAGCAGCCCAAAACCTAAATCCTAAATCTTAAATCCTATATCCCAAATATCCCGAGAGAGAGAGAGAGAGAAAGAGAGAGACGGCAATAAAATAATGATCTCTAATAGATAGATAAATAGAGAGGTCTATAGATGCCAAGATAGAATAAATGCGCAAAGATGAGATCCGACCCCGCATATCTTCTCCTTATCTATCTCAAATCTTACGACCATCTTACCTACCCCCATCCATCATCCCTCCCCTCCCTAATTGGATCCAAATTCCAACGACCAAATAATATGTAGAAATAAATTATTTAGATAGAAATTAAATTATTTTAGAATATATTTTTTTCTTAATTTAATTATATTTTAAATGAATTATTTTTATATTATATTTCGTATTTTTATAAAAGATTCTATACCTTATCAAAATTATTTCTATTTATTTCTATATTCGATATTATTATTCAAAATATTATAATCGATATCAAATAGATAGAAAGAAATGTATAAAAATATGCATTAAAAAAGGGTTTATATCTAAAAAAAGAAAGCAAAAGAGACGCATAAAGAGATTTATATAGAGAGATATATAGAAATAAAAAAGAAATATATAGAGAGATATCTCGAAAACTATAGCGATACGCATAGAGAGATTCATGGCGAGATACCAACCCAAACATATAATTCGTAGATGCATAGATATAGATATATATACACATACTCAGAGACACGCACACACAAAAACACACAGAGAGACACGCACGCACAGGCTTACACAAACACATACAGAAACATAGAGAGACACCTACACATTGGGGCTCGCGGATCCTCGAGAGTATAACTACCTAAAGCTTCCAAATTTCTAAAATTTTCTTACCGGTAGATTTCCTAAAACTACCAAAGTCTCTAATATTTTATTACCATAAAAGAAGGGCTCACGATGTTAAAACTTCCGAAATTTCGGTGCCGCGAGACAAGCTTCCAAGAGGAAGCGCGCTAAAAAACGAGGTTACAGGGGCGCGCACAAAAAAATAGAGACGACCAGCACGATATTGTTGTATTAGAGAATTACGTATCTATATCCTTAGTTTTAATAATATTAATCTATGTTTGAACATTTTCTATCTAATCCTAAACCTCATAGACTATAGATTTTAATAATAGATTGAAACCATCAATATTAAGCAATATACATCCCATATCCTCTTAAAGTCCTTCTCGATTCCAAACCTTATACCTTTCTACCCTAGTCCTAAACCCTCACCTCAAGTGCTTGAGTTAAACCCTAAACCCTAAAACCTCATAAACACGCCACAAGCAAAAGATGCCCCCCACCCCAACCCAGAGGGGGGAGGGTAGACCATAGACGGGGGTGGGTGGGGTCGCGAAGCTTCTTTCGAAAGACAATGTTAATGAATTCTTACTATTCTCTCAAACCAAAGAAACAAGAATCAATTCGGCTCAATTCAAGATGATCAATCTGGCTCAGATAAAAAAATCATTTTCATAAGATAAAATGAATCAATGGGCCAATATCAGACCCGCCTCACCTCCAGCAATTGATACGCAAGAGTTTTAAAGTCCAGCAGTCGTCAAAGAGGTGCTGCTCCAACAATGAATTACATGATGGAGCACTTCTTCTCTTTGGCTATGTCATCGGCGTTGGCCTCAGCAAAAATCGCAGTTGGAATACTTCTATCTTGATTACAATCATTCCGACTGACCAGCCTCGGGATGCGCAGGATCGTTTCCTTGGTCATCTGGACATCCGGCAGTGAACGGTCACCCAGAGTACTCACTTCGAGGCGCTTGGATGATTCACCAGCTCGGCCTTGGTTGGCTTTTGCGCAACCTGAAGAAGCACTTGCACTTGCCGCGCTGGTGCTGGCAAACGTCAAAAAAATTACAACACATCTTCGCCTCGAGCTCGGGTTTTGTCAAGGTGACACCTCATCTCGCAAAACTATGAGAAGAGCACGCACATGGACACGTCGTGATGCTTCGCATCTGCCAATGCTGACGTGACCTCGCCTGCAAGATCTGCAGCGATTCGAAAGAATGACGAATGAACCTGGAGTTTGACACATTACGGTTGGGATAATCAAAAAGAAGATTTATCCTTCAATGAAACACTTACTTCCAGTACTGCCCGCATTCGCTTCCGGGCCTGGTCTCCTGTCCGCGCGGACACGAAATAGCTGTACAAGTCGTTCTCTTCCGCGAACTGTCCGACCAGGAGGCTTTCAGCACATGACCACAACAAAAAGACATGGAGAGGCGCAGATGCAACCTGTTCTCGCGCCTGATTGTGTTTGTCTACTTTCACAGCTCGGATATGCGCCAAGTCGTGCTTGTTTGCCATCAATGCAATATACCTCCAGCTCTCATGTGCTACCGCCAAACAAAACTGCCCGAAACATTGCATCATGCTCGCGGAAGCGGTGTCTTGTCGAACGTGCGCTTGACCAGGAACAACCAGTCCTGCCCAAGACTGCCAAACCCTGCCGCCTGTAAAATGCATCTCCCCTCCTCCAGATGTTGGAAGCTCTGATAGTTGGTAATGTCATAGCAGAGGACGACCTGACTGATTCCGACGTCCCTCTTCTCAAGTGCCTTTGTCCAAACGTACTGCGAGCAAGCCGCAGCACTGGAGCCGTAGATGTAGTTGCTTAACATCTTGCCACCAATGGATTGGCCGCCAATGTCCCATATCTGCAAGCATACCTGTGGCTGAGCCAACTCTTCCGGTTACTTTTCTCGGGCTTCTCAAAGAGTATGCAGGTGAATCCAAAGCCACCGGGTCACGTGAATGTCGCCTGGCAGAACCACTCTCTTGACAAAGAAATCCAAGCCTGAGTTCAAGGTGCTCAGCTGCCAAAGGTCCCAAGGATATGTTGACAATACACGTCCACGAGATGCCCCTCCACCTCCCCATGCAATTCGTATTGACATGTCTTTTCGAGCATGCCCTGCACGGTGTGCATATCAAAATCGCAGTCGTTATGGCTGTAGGTTGAAGCCTAAACCAAACCCGAATTGAATCCCAAGCCCTAAACCGCTGGCTCTCTCCAGAGACTACGGCTTCGAAGCCGAACCCTAAGCCTTGCGCCCACCTCTCAACCCTACAGGAACCCTAAACCCTAAACCCTACAAACCCCAAACCTTGAACACTAAACCCCAAAGCCCTAAACCGCAAGCTTTCCAATCCTGAACAAGACCAAGATCCTAACTCCTGACGTTGAAGCAAGATACAAGAGTCTCATGGTCAGAGTAGGGCTCCCCATAGAGAAGGTTCTATAATACGGTCCCCTGAAAGAGTAGTATAAGGTTCTATAATAGGGTCTTCTTGAAAGTAATGATATAGTATTATAGAATTACACCAAAAACCTTCAAGAGGCAGACTCTGATCTGGCTCCGCAGCATAGCGTCCCACCCCTTTTCATGTTCTGTCATTCCGACACCTTGTTTTGTAAAAAGAAGCCCGCCACTAGCATAGCATCAAGCAGAAATGCCCTCTGCTCCCCCCTCGCACTGTGCGCACACACAAGGATTATCCACGATTCATGCAACAGCCAGACACATTAAGAGGTTGATCCCATTCGGTCTGTGGGCATCCAGCCTCACCCAAATGCAGACCTCCCATCACCTCCCTTGGCACTGACCGGTCTGCTCGCAACAAGCACTGCTGTCCGTCCCCTCCCACGCACACCGCTTTCATACTGATGCCTTTTCCACCGAATCCTAGCATGTTCCGCGTTAGTTTAGATACTCAGAGCTGGCACCGCTACGCTGCTACTCACAATGCAGCAAGATCCGGTAAAGATGGCGAAGTCTGGATCGGCATTTTGCTGGTCGCCACACATAAGGGCGGCGCCTATCGTTTGCTTGTACTGCTTGGCAAAGTGATCCTGCAGTCCAGACAGGGAGCATGACCATTGCTGACTTTGTCGTGACTCCCACGTTCTCTCACGCATTCTGGGCTATTTTATGCGCACAGCAACATATTGTTGTCGTCTACTCGTACTTAGGGGCATTATGGTAAACAGAACTCGTCCAAAGCGTGAGCACCGCTGTCATGCTGCTGAGAGTCGAAGTGTTGCAAACAGGTGTGGCACGGTTCTAACCGTTTCAGTGTCACTCGGCTTGCTTGCGACAACTCCATCCAGTTGAGAAGACGTGCCATCACCGAGATCCCTTTTGGAAGGCATGGTTGCCTAAAAGGTTTACATAGGACTGAGCTGCGTAGGCTTACAGTAGGTTGCCTGCCATCACATCCTGTTCTCCAGCCACTTCTCCTTCAACGATTTCGCGTTCCCACGGACTTGCATCAAGTACAATGTCCAAGCCTGCCTTGGCAATTCCCCAAGCTTTGTTAGCTAGCTAGTGCATTACCAGACCACCTCTTGGCTGCGCAAAATGCCTAGAAACCTAGCTGAGGAAGCATCGATTCCCTGGCACGATCTAAGTATAAAGTCTAAAATGGACTCAAGAAGACTGCAACGGAAAGATGTTGCAATTGGGTCATGGGTCAAAGATGTGGCATGACGGCGTTGGGTGCAAGTACCCGACTTGCCAAGGGACTGAGACTGACTATAGGCGATTGTGCAAGTTTGTTAGGGCAAGTTTGTTTACTGCAGCCTCGCAGAATCGCGTGGCCATCGAAGTCTTTCCAACCGCACCGTCGCCGAGAAGAATTACCTGCATACAAACGGAAGCCAATGCGAAGTTGTTGCTCGCATCGGAAGCACCTTGAACTGCAAGTATTCAGGTTCATCTTCATCATCGTCTTCGCCCAGCCTAAACGACAGGAGGGAGCTCGGCCGGCTCCCAACAGAGTCCATGAGCTAGGGACTGCGTTCGCAGCTCGGCCATGACGCACCTACCACAGCTGCTGGAGATGAGAAACATCCTGGACGGGTTGCCTCCTCAACTGTGCCTGCGAAATTGACGGGAGTGCTCGCCCAAACGCTCAGGCAGCTTGGCACAGGATGTGCACTTGCCCTGCCAGCCAGAACCGAATGTGGTTATCACATCCAAGTCCCGGGCAACATCAAAAGAATCGAGTCCCGAACGGACCATCGAACCAGTCAAGTTGCACCTTTACGAGTGAGGCTTTTCGGGATGAACCTCTCCACACATCGCACGAGGACCAGAACTATAAACATTGAGCTTCGCGCTTTGAGACACAAGGGACTGACTGAAAACGCTGCAGCCCGAACGTCGGCAACGAAGAAGCATGCCACATATTCTGTGATATCACAAGAGCAGCAAGCCGTCAGCTTAGACCCTGCTGCCATTTTGGACTATGCAGTGGCAATGAGCCACATCGATGGTAAGTTTCCGCACTCTAGCAGACTCCGAACGTGCTGCCAACCTGCCACCAAGCATTGATGACGGACGTGGAAGCGTCACGCCAATGCTCAGCAGAACGCCTGCAACCACCACAGACTGGCCCAAAGCCTTTCCTAACAGAACTTTTGAAGAGAGGGTCCTGTTTGATCACGGCGCTAATGCTAGTTGGACCGTCTGTGATAGTGAGACTCCCATCCCCCAGCATTCTGACTTGATGGAAGCCTCCCCCTATCGTATCCTCGTAGCTTCGCCCACAGCCCATGAAAGATGGAAGGGAACGAAAGCTGTCTCTCACTTTACCAGGCATTGCGGCATTGCCATGCTACTGCTACAGGGCTACAAGGCTGTGGGGTTTCCTGGCCGCGGAAGCCCTTGTTGGCATCTCACAGCAAGCTGATGAATGGGTCTGCGGAAAGGTGGCGGACGGTAAATCCAGGAACCCAAAAATCAGCAGCTGCAGCGGACCCAGGTTCACGGTGAGAACTGAATTGCAAAACAAAGCTGGTAGTGGTGACCAGATGCAGGCTGAAAGCGCTTCAGACGCCAGATGTCTTCTCTACAAGATTGTCCTGATCGGCATCTCTTTGTTGCACGTTGCACGGTTCGCCCATGGGTCCCTAGTGATGTTGAGCCGATGGCAAGTCTGTCGTCTGAAGCTGAGCAAGCCCACCACGCTGGGAGCATGCTCGCCCATTCCAAGCGGTGCATTCCCGACGGATGTTGCTTCGACTAGCTGGACAAGCGCGTTACGCATGCCAGTCTGAGGAAATCCGTGGTCTTTCCACGCAGTGAAAATCAAGCAATCTCGACAGCATGTCGGGTTCAGCCTGAAGGCCAGGAGCAGCTGCCGACACATAAGGTGTGAATACTCATCTGCACTAGCACGACGTCACGAAAGAGCAAAATCAGAATCCTGGTGCAAACATTTGGCTACTAGGCCGACAGCAGACGTGTGCAGAGACGAACCATTTCATGTCTCGGGCTCGGACCCAGAAATTTCACAGCGTAGGACAGCATGAAAGCAATCTGCCAGCACATCGTTCGTCACTCACAGGACAGTCCGCCAGGGCATGAACATGGAGCCAACTGCTGCGCACCAGCGCCACCAGAACGATGTGGAACGCATTGTACCCACCACCTTGAACGCACATCCTGCTTAAAGCTGCCTTCGAATCCTTATCATCGAGGAACTGAGGCAAGAACTCTCACCAGAGGATAAACTCTTTGAGGACTTCAGATCTTCTATCTCGGCCTAGCACACCCCAGCACACCAAATACGGTCCATGGTCGTGCGCAGCATCCATGCCAATGAAACAACAGGGCAGTCTGCAAGAGCTCCGTTTCCGCTCGAGTCGAGTCCGCAATGCCTCTAGCTTTTTCTTCTGCTTTTCTAGCATGAGAGTGTACCTTGTCGAGCATACACGAACCTTTGACAACAAACAGCTCGCGAAGAAGCCTCGCTAGCGGCTAAGACCGAGGAAGCGGCTGCACCAGCTCATCATACTTTACTTGCAAATCGACTGGAGCCTGCAAGGATCCACCCACAGCACGCATGTTCGAGAAGCCCTGCATCACTGGTGAAAGATATCGAAGGCCTCACCGCCTGTCGCTCTGGAGGCATCCACAGGACCACACCTTGGCTTAGCTGAACATGCCCCTTGCTCGACATGAAGGCCTCAGCTTGGGCCGCTGCCCAAACCCATAGTTATCTTGATGGGGCGCTGCTGGTTCTGTTTCAGACTCCTGCAGCGAGATGCGTTCGAAGCGCACGGAGCAGTCGCAGAGCAGCTGCACCTCGAGGACAACGTTGAGACGCTGTTCCTCGATCTGGTCCTTCTTGAACTCACTCCACTGCTCTCGACCTGAATTTCCAATCCCGGGCCACACTTGACACGCGTGACAGGCCAAAACAGCAGAGATTAGGAATGCACTCACTTGCTGCGACGAACTCACTGCAACTGCCTTCCAAATTGGCGTACAATGCCGGAAGGGATTTCAAACTCACAAGGCGTAAGGCCAAACTGCACAACAGCCTGAACCAGAAAGCGATGATTCTGGCCCTCTCCTGGCGGCCTCATGTCAACCATGTGTGTTCGAAGCACCACTGCCGGATCTGGTGCAAGCGCCAGGCTGGAGGATTATGGTGACCTCCTCGCTGCCGTGAGGACTGCCAGGGCTGCAGACTGCTTCCACGTGGAGTAGAACCCCGCATTTCCGAACCTGAGGGTTGCTGCACTAGGTCGAACCAGATACGACTTTGGAGCTGTCGTCTTCACCTGAATCAAATTACAGGCGCCCTTTGCAACATATCGACAGCCTTCCCTCACCTTGAAAGCGACAGGTCCGCTGGTCTTGTTTGTAAGCCGCAGCTTCCTGAACAAAAGCACCCCACGCACAATATCACAAAGCAACGAAGCGATTGAAGTCTGTCGGCAAGCCTATTCGGCGACGTGTTTGTCGGCGTTTTACCTTGCAGCTGCTCGATGCAGATACTTTTCTGCCCTCCGCAACGCAGACAGCTCCTTTTCACAAGGACCGCTTGGTGCCCACACAGAAGTGCAGTGTAGTCGAAGGATCCAGCTCTAGGAGGGTCATTGGCATCCTGCCTGCCAGCACGGGGAACTTGTACGTGCATCCTTTCATAAAGCCTGTCAACCACATACCCCGTGCAGGGCCAGATGTCAATTCAGCTTTGCCTGTCTGCGCATCTACAGTACTCACACACACAGACTTTGGAGCGATACAGATTTCGGTGTCTTCCTGATTGGGGTTTCAAGTGCCACACTGCCTGACCGTGGTGAACTTGTGGACAATTCCGAGCTCCAATTTCGTTCCGACTCCACTAACCATCAAGCCTGCCTGCACCCCCACTCCAGGTGTGCAGCTAAGGACCTCAAAGGAGAAAGGAAAAGACAGCAGCAGCACAGCAGCTCGTCACTCTCTGCACTTACTGCAGCTCGGCCAAGAGCTTACCGGCCTTCGGCACAACTGGCGTGCTTAGTCGGGATGCAGGTGTGGGCCAGAATCATGCACGGCGCAATTCAAACTCTGACATTCCCAGCAAGCCACGATGACCAAAGGCTGATGCTGCGCCAATTATGCGTCGCAGCAAGAACGGAGTCGCGTTGACACAGCTGAGTTTCGCAACCAAGCGAGCCTTGCAGCCTTTGGCAAGGGGTTTAGACTGGTTCCAGACCAGAGAAAGCAGCTTGCTCTTTGGCAGGCGCCGCCGAGACAGAGAGCCTAGCTTCTAGCGTGATGTGTCCATTCGACGGTTCAGCTCTCGATACAGCCTGCAACCAGAGCAAGTGCTTGCAGCCGTCACGTTATGCACGTTCCGGAGCTGTCTCAAAACGCATCTCACAAAAATACTCTGTGGCCCCCCTGAATGTCAACACAGCGAGTCACCTATGTCATGGGGAGGCCAGCGCCTGTCAAGCTCCTCCTCAGCCGCCGCTGTTTCATCGATGCTTTCGGAGCCCAGGCTATCCGATGCCTTGCAACGAATCCACCCAACCCTGTTCTCGTCACTGCCAGTCTCTTCTTGCTGCCAAGCCTGCCTTGAGCACTGGATAGCCTCCAGATGTATCAGACTGGGCCCAGAGGGCTGGAAAGAGGGCTCGCACAATTCAGAACTGTGCAGTCCAAGTACCGTTGACACGCATCGGCAAATATCGTCCATCAGTCACCTGAAAGCAAATCCCACAAGTTCGCCATAGCTTGCCCGAACGACCGAAGTCCGGTACCTTGAGCCAGCCGTCACCTTGGTCTTCGCCACGCACCACAGAGTTCCATGGCCTTCAGCTAACAAGTCGAGGAACCTCAAATGGCTAGGAGTTGCTGACAGCTGAGCTCACGAACGCTCCCCCCAGCTCCCCGGGTCGAACATCCTCCGTGACAGGGCGATTTTACAGGTGAACCATCGGCACGAGAGAAACGGCACAGAGGAAGCCTTGTCATTCAGATCTCTGCTGAAGCGGTAGCCAAGTCCACCACAGGAAGCTTGCAGCCTGAGACATGACTGCATGACTCTGCATGACATCTTGCAATGCCACCATGTCGAATGTCGGACAAGCCGGGAAAGTCACCAAGTGTTGTCAACCAAGAAAGTCTTTGTCACCTCGTGAAACGAAGGACTGGGCCAGGCTTGAAACGGTAGCGATCTATGAGGCCAGGACAACCGGAAGTACCCATCGAAATCCGTCACTAGTGTCGAGCAGCGGGATCCATCCTTGGAAAAACCATTACAAGCCGCCCACGGTGCAAGCAGTCTACGTCGCGGATAATACGCTATGAAACCGCCGACAACATGATTCTTGCATGGTTGTAGGCCCTGGTGACTGCAAGATCCTACTACATTGATCGCAGGAACGTGGAGACAACTTGCATGGCCATGGGATTCAAGAAGCGTCGAAAATGAAGCAGCAACATCACATCCAATCCACTCTGCTTGCAGCTGCTGCACCGTGTGGATCATCGATGCGCCCACGGACTCTCTGCTCAGATGGGCAATTCAGCACCTGATCGCTAAAGAAATGTCTCGGCGAGTCCCAAGACATTGCCCTGCCCAGCATGGCACCTGTTGCACGGAAACCTGCTGGCCAGCTGCCAGGTGGCCCACGGCGTCGCGATCACTGCAACCGGTGGAAGTCCGGTACACCGCTGTCCCAGCCATCACCTCGCAAACTACTGCCTCAAGAAACCTAGAAATAGAAGCGAGACCAGACCTCCCCTGCCGGCCTTGTAAACGCCAGGATGTATGTCCTACGGGGGTTTGAACAAGCATCTCGTCGGGCCGTCGGGGCCACACAGCTTGCGTCATCTTGTATATCTCCCAGCCTGGTCACTGGCATCGCGTGCCACGCCCGCAAGACTTGGTGCAACGCGGAGTTCATCTCGGCATGACGACGACAACTTTTGGAGTAAGAGCTGGGCATAGCCCCAGCACCTCGGCCCTGCACGTCGGATGCACGATTGAATTCTAGAGCAGTCTGCACAACATGCTGCGCCTCACTACCTCCTTCGATGAGGACTTCGTACTCGAGCTCCCCTTCTGCTGGCGCAACTGCAGAAGACCCTCTTAACTGGTCTTTCTTCCTGACCCACCTTCCAGTTGGAATGCTGTTCAGCAAGAGCGATGTCTTGCCCAGCGTGTCGTCAACGAACATGTTGGAGTTGAACACTTCCAATTCCAGAAGGTTTGGTGCAGCATTGAAGTCGAAAGTAAAGTCTCGACCGTCTGTCCATACCGGATCTAGATTGTTGTCGATCACCGGGGTTTGACGATGCTCCTTTCCGAGACGAACCACAACATACGGATCGGACTTGTTGCCGAAGAAGCTGCCGATGTCCATGTTCCGCAAGCCGTTTGCAGAAAGTACGCGAACGTGCAGAAGCGGCGCTTTGCTGGCACTGTCAGGTTTAGGCTGAGACTCACCCAGGCCTGGGGCAGTATTTCCCAGCAAGCCAACGACATCGGATCTGCGGTTTGAAAGACCACTTTGTGGAACTGCTGTGTCAATGCGGAGTTGCGTCTGTGGTACTGTCGGACGCTCTGGTGGCAGGGTTGAACTCAACGTCGACGGTCTGCTGAATTGCCCCGCTCGCGGATCTGGTGCTTGAGACCCAGAAAACGGAATGCAAAGCGTCGTCGGCTCTCCGCCAAAGAATGACTGCCAGCTTCCCACAGGCTTGGATTGCAATGCCCAGCCTCGGCCATCTTGGAGTCTGAGAAATGTCATGCCAGCTTGGGTTGCGGTATCCACCACAGTGAAGATGTCGCCAGGATGCAGAACATGCTGCGACTTTGGCCCATCAAGGCTGGGAGAAACCAGTATTTGCATGGGGGCACCGTCCTGAGGCAGATATCGCCACTGCTCCATTCGCGGTGGGGCCATGGGGGCGTGCTGTTTCAAGTCGTGAAGGGATCGCTCTTCCTGCGCCAATCGCACGTGAAGTTGATCCAGCTCCCTTTGCGAGGGCATAGCAAGAGCTGATGAGGGCATCATGTGCGGATGGAAGCTCGACATGCCCTCGGTTCCACCGTCAGATCCAGCAAAGACAAAACGATCAAGCTGGTTAAACGCACCATCCAAGGGCCATGGCGCAAATGACTCAAATATCCCTGTCCCAAACAGGCACTCCGTTCAGCCCAAAAGCGGACGGCAGGCTCAATGAAAGCCACGACGACTCAGTCCATTCAGACACGGCTTAAATGAAAACCGGGCTCTTTGCGCCACTGCTGTGCAGCGCCTGTACCATTCTTAACTTCAGTGACGGATTGAGCGAGGCAAACCCTTAAGGGCTGAAGGATAAGGATTCCGGGATGAGGGCTTGGAGCTTGCATACCTTAGGCGAGGATTGAGACGACGCCACCTCAACAACTGCTACATGCTAAATACCACCAATGCTTGGTCTCGGAACCCACCTGACCCTGATGATAGGACACACAAATTTATTTGTTTTCTCAAAAACCGTACATGTCGAAAACCGGCAATCTCACTCGCATCGTAAGGATTCCAGCCATCTTCCGACGAATCGTACATAGAATCCAACACAACCCAACTCCCGTTGCTGGAATGTGCTTGCGTGCAGGGCTGAAACTCGTCGCAACATATCAGAATGACTGCCTGATGGACGAATCTGACTTGGTGAAAGAGTCCGGAGCATACATAGCTCTTCCAGGAGGTCAAAAGGACTACTGAGCCTCAAGCTTGCCTCCGTGATATAGAAATTTGGATTTGGCTCAGTCGGTGCAGCCCCCTCCTAACTGCCCGGGACAACGATGGATGCGCTTGGCCCCTGGTTATGAGGACATCATGCAGAAGACACAGATGGGGGGCTTCTGCATGTGACGAATGTCACGGATTCTTCGTTTTGCGGTCATGCTTGGCTACGTGAGCCTCTGCAAAGCCTTGCACTGGGCTGGCATGGAGGGAGGATCCGCACTTTGGCAGTCGGGAAGAGCTGCCAAGGTCTGCTTGTCCACAGCTTGCGGCGCTGTTTCCACATCCGTCAGATCGAGACCGACATGATGACCATGGAAGGGCCCTCCTGCTCTGTTCCAGTCCGGTTACATTACATTCCAACACACTTCCCAGTGTCCTAGCCCCGCCTTCGACTTGTGTGTGGGCAGACTCAAATGAAGTGCTTCTTCTCGTAGTATCTCATCCTGACAGCCGTGTGGTACAACGTGTGTCTTGACCAGAAGCTTTCAGCGTCCTGTTCCACATCAGCACTCCAATTGTCACCGTGGCCACTAGAAGAACCACCAACATCCAAGACCTTCAGGAATCCACACGTTGCCGGCATTAAGGTATTGAAGTGCTTCTACGGTGAATGCTCTCGTCTGCGACTGGACCTTTACATTCCCTTTGACAGCTGGCACTCTGTAAGTTCATTGCATCTGCGAACTTCTGGACACAACCTGGGCGCTTGAACACAACGCTGCAGCCCAGGGCTGTCACAGCAGGCTTGAGTTGCACACGCTCTTCTCAAGCACAGAGGTTTGGTCGACGATCTTGGAGATCGACGACCCAGCGGCCTGAGAGGTCTTGGACCACAGGTCCCGGTTATGAGCATGAGCATACGCATGTGCTGCGCATGTGCCTTGTCGGCTTGCTGCTTGACTTCGTTTAGATTCTTCTGCACGGCCTCACCACTGAGAGTGTAATCAAAACGAACGACTGCAAGCAACTCAGACCACCGGACAGGAACTTGAGATGCTCATGCAAGAATCAACCAAGGCATAACTCGCTGTTCTTAGTTGTTAAACCCCGAATGACAGAAATCGATAAGCAGAACGAGATCTCACGGCCTCGAGCTTGTGCATGTGAGCTGCCCCCTCCTGATCGCTGTTCCGAATCATATGCTGCATCTGAAGACATGCGTCCATCATCCACCGAACTCCTTGTCCAGTAGCCTGCGGAGGCCCATAATGTGGACCTCATGAATATACAAGCCATCCAACAGCTGTCACAAAGCAACCAGGAGGTGCGACTTGTACCGAAAAGTTACGAAAACGACGAATGGGAAATGTTTCCAAAAGTCTGCACAAACGAAGCACCGTACCTTCATCTCCTGCAAATTTGTCGCCTTCTTTGGTGTCCTCGGAACATCTGTGAGTCACAGCTTTCGGGCGGCTTAGTGCCAGTAGCAGACCAGCTTTCTGCATGCGCCCCACACTGTAAAACGCTGGCACTACTGAGACCCGGAAGGACAGAGGCACACGTACATGCGCACAGCTGCCTGGATGTGATCTGTCGTACGAACACTGTATATGAGATATATGTATTTTCTACACACACACACAGGCTGCAATGTCCACAGATGATGTGGCGCACCATGATTCGACATCACACTAGTTTTCAGATCGTTCCACCACACACTCGGAGCCCAAGCCTGAATCGAGTGCATTCCGGCATTAGCGACTCTAAAGCGGAACCTGTTGCCGGAGGTAGACGTGCAAGCAATCGTAATATAACAGTATTCCGAACAGCCTCCGAAGGGGCACCCTGTAGGCAAACCCCTAGCAGCCAGTCCAACAATTTCTGTAAAGCCTTCGGCTCGAAGCACAAGTCAGTTCGCTTCGGGAAAGCGCAAACACAAGTGCTGCCGAGTAGTTTTACTTTTTGCTAGTGCTTGCATTAGCCGAGTGATGATTCAACCAGGGCAACGTAGATGGTTGCTTCTTTCTGCATGACATATTCAGTGAGCATGGTCGCTTAGGCCGGGGACAAATGCTAAAGCGGTAAAGCTAAAAGCAAAGAGAGGGGCAGAAAGACACAGACAGAAGCGAAGAGCGCGAGGAGGAGAGCGAAGAGAAAAAAGAAAGACAGACACCAATAGACAAACAGGCAGACAGGCAGACAGGCAGGCACGAAGCAGGCAAACGCTTAGTCAAACACTTTTCCTTGATGGATTTCAGGGCTTCGGTAAGCGTCTGGTGTGTACAAAGGGCAGGGTCACAACTGTTGCACCCCGCCTCAGCAGAAAACATCTTACAGGCTTTCTGCTGCTCCTGAAGAAAAGTGAGGCAGGTCACGAAATCATCCGCCTCGCCCAAAACACGTCATGCAAGGAGTATAAATACGATACCCCTTGTTCCTAATATTCCCACAGCTTGGCAGATGAAATCGCTCCCCTCTGCTCGTCGTCACTGCTACTTCAGGTGGGATCTGCATTCGATCCGGCCG